GCCTCTTTTTTCTTTATACAAGATTTAATAGAATTTGATAAACCTTTTTTTTTTTTAAAAGAGTGGGTTGTCTGATTGTTTTCAAGATGCAATATACAAGTTGATCGGACTGCATCAGCTGCTTGCTTTTTTTTTAACTGAACTAATCCTTTGTTTTTACAGCTACAAAACAAGAAAAAACTGTGCTTGCAGTGATCAAAGTTAGTAAATTGGAAAACATTTTGACATTTGAAAGTCATTCACTTTTTAACAATCAATAAACTATGTTATCTAGCTCAAAAAAGATCTGCTGAGAGCAATCAGTTTTTATTATATTTGGTGTTGCTACCATCGCTGTTCTGTTACTTAGAGTAAGCTGAATATGTGCTGCTGTTTTTTGTATCTGCTCCATATGCCAGAACCGCAAGTTTTCAGACGATAATGATTGGCAGTACATCAACATAATCAACCAAAGAAGAACAATAAAAATATCATTTTCTTTAAACTCTCTTGGCACTTCCAGCATATAACTCAGTCAGCAGAGTAAAATGCGAACAGCTTTTCTTGAACGAAGAAAAAAATGGGTTTGCTAAGCTTGTTAAAGTACAGAAATCTATAAGATTGCTGTATGCAATAAATACAAAAAACTGTCTAGTAAAGTCTTTAGTGCGTAAATCAGATATTGAAAAAAAATATATAGTAACTTCATTCTACAAAACAATTTTTTAACACAATATGCAGAAAAAAAATAATATTTTTGGTGCTGATATTATTTTACGACTAAAGAAATCTTGGAACAAAAGGTAAAGCAGATGTAAAACAATAACACATATTTTGCCTACTATAAATAACAGAATAGCAGTGAGAGCGATATCAAATATGCCAAAAAATGATTGCCTTGTTCTTGACTGCTAAAAAAAATAATTGCTTTTTTTTGAGCTATAAGACACAGTTCATTGATTATTAAAAAACCGAATAACTTTCAGATGTCAAATGTATTCAAAAGGAGTGACTTTGATTACTTCAAGGATGTTATTAAAATGATTTAGATGACTGAAAGAATTTGCGGATAAAGTAAGATAAAGTTTATTTCAGCTACAGCAGCCATACCACTTCACAGGTTTTTCCCTTTCAAAACTTTAAAGAAATTTTTGATTAGATGATAAAATCAGTTGTCAATTAAAACCAAAAAAATTTTTAAAAAATTGAAATGCAAAAAAATGAAAAAAAAATCAATGTTTAATCACTATATTTATAATAAAATCAATAATAGTTTTATTTCTTTCTTCTGGCAAATTTATCAATTTAAAACTGTTTTTTTTCTTAATTAATTAATCAGAACAAAAAGCGCAGCCAGTTATAACAAATTCAAAAAAAAAATTTTAGACTTAAATTTTTTTTATTTTTAGAAACTTTATTTATACAATTTTCGCAAAGGTACCTGTCTGTATCTGTCTTACAGTAACATTTGATAAAAATCAGTCAAAAAAAAGAGCTTTTTTAAATGCTAATCAACGCCTCCAAGCTGTTGCCAGATGTATGGCAAGACAAAGACATGAAAAACTTTTATTTATGACATTACTTAGTTGATGAAAATGTTGAAAACAAAAAAAAAATATAGTTCATTACAGATGTATAGTGTTTCTGCCTTTTTACAACTTTTCTTTCTATTGCTTCCTCTCCATTTTGAAAAAGGTTAGAGTAGCGCAAAAAAAAGTCAAGTTTGACGGAAACCACTGAGATAAATGATTTACATCAGAATTTTTAATAATAGAGTCCTGTCTCCAAGTTATTTCAAAAAAATAACTCAACCTTGTTTTCATGTTTCGAGTCATTTTTAAAAAAGGCAGTTTTTTAATAGGATTTATGAGCATATTGAAACCACTTCTATCCTTTAAAAATCTTCAGCTTGAAACTCTAATGAGAAAGAAAAGAAAAAAGCAGAAAAATCTGAAGGAAGATAAAAGACAACTAGTCACCGTTAGCTTCAATTTCTTCTTTTTAACACTGTTAGTTACATCCCAGTCAAGCTTATAAACGAAAATGAAAAACTATAAAAACATAAAACTCTACTACACTCTAGTGTTATGTAAAGGAAAAAACAATCTAAAGAATGAATAAAAAACAAAAAGAAGGCAATAAAAAAAGCAAATAAGCGAAGTAAGATCTCCTATAATCATGCTGGCCACTACTTATTGTAGACGAGAAATAAGAAGGTCTAGAAAAAAAAGACGAGAAAACCAAAAAAAAAAACCATGAATAGCGACTGAAGAAAAACTCATGCAGTGAAACCACTTGTCACAAACATACATCGTGGTTAGTGAACCGTATTGCCATTACTGGTTGCCACATCTTTTTTCATCTCTTCCAGATGCTTACGAGTTATGTAACCTCGAAATTCAGCCTGAATTTTTGTTGCTGCCCGTTCTTCTTCTGGATCTATGCTGCCAAATTCCTGATTTGATGCACGACGCCTAAGCATGAGAACAAAGAATGACAACTTTTTTTTTTGCAAACAAATTAGTTTCTGTTAATCGTATCACAACAGTTTGAAGCAGTTCGTTGTATGGCATCAAACTAATCACTCAAACATAGGAGTAAAACGTAAAGAAAAATCAAAATTATAAAAAAAATAAGGTAATTTTTTATCTACAGGCGAATGCACGTACTTTGCAACGTCATCGCACATCTTGCTTGACAAGTGCTCCATTGAATTACGCCTGTTTTGATGATGAGAAGGAACTGTGCCGTATTTCTCTCGAGCCTATAAACAATGAAGCATAATATTTAGTTCTTATAAGCTCCTAACTGATAGAAACAGATTAATCTCATAGCCATTTCCTATTAAACCATACCATCTCTCAGTTTCCCTCGCTAAAAATTTAAAACCAACTTTTATTTCGGTATCTCTTTTACTTTAAAACTTAAAAAAAAATGAAAGTGATCTTAAAGTTTTTTCTTTTTAAATTTTAAATTGGTTTGACTTTTAAAGAGTGATGTCACTAATAGCTAAAAAACCAAACTTCATGTAATACCTTCCAGGCAGTTAAAGAATTCCCCGCAGATGTCGTATATTAATGTCAACAACTCAGTTATTTTATCTGAGCAAATATACCAAATAGCTGATTTCGATCTGTTTTTTATCATAATAAAAGAAATTTTACACGATTTTTTTTGAATGTTTTATGATTTCGCTTGAGTAGAAAAAAAATTTTTTTGTAACGTCTGCTATATGTTTTTTTATATTGATAAAAACTCTAATTTTCCTACCAAACTTAGTGTATATGCTTTTCAAATGTTTGTGCAGGAGAAACTATAAAAAATAAAAAGAACTGAAATTTGAAAACAATTTACAGATGCAAAACTGTATAAGACAAATTCATCCTCTTTCGGAGAGTTCGACCAGTCAAAACTAACTTCAAATATCAGCATGAGTCATGATGATGAGTAACTTTTGGAAAATTATTATAAAAAGTGATTAAGAAATTCGAAGATTAAAAGAAATTACTGAAAAAAAACCAAAAAAAATTAATAAATAAAATTAATACTCTTTATAGCACAAATTTAGCCTAATGAAATGTACTTACAATGTGACCGCGAAAGGCTGCCTGTATTTTAGTAGCTGCTATTTCCATGGTATGTCGAGGTGGACTACGGCATAAGTGACCACACTAAAATTTCTGAACCATAATATTCATTCATAAACCATACTACATCATTTTATGCTCAAAAAGAGACATGTTATTTGTAGCGTAATTACGTTCAATGCCTCAAAGCTATTCTAGTAATGATCTTAGGCTTTTTAAATTTGATTTTAACCTCTTCTGCTTATGCCTACTCTTAACTGCTTTTCCTTGTTTATTATCATATCACGGCCCTGATATAACAAAAAAATAGTGTAAATTTACTTGTTATCAGCCGCAATATTGTCATTGTACCTGCGTTAGGCAATAGAGTTAAACAAACAGCCTAAAGAGCTTAACGCTTTAATTGAGCTTAACGGATTTTTAAATTTTAATGCTAAACAAAAGTGCTGCAAGCGTGAAATCACTGAAAATGAATAATGTAATCTTATACGGCTAATCTCACTTATACAAATACAAGCAGAAGAAGTTTTTATATGTTTATAGAAATCTGGAAATTTTTTTCTTTTTCAAATCCTAACTACATCTATGAACAATGACCTATTGCTTTATGCCATTCTGCATTACACTTTTGTGCACACATATTCTTAGAAATACGGCAAAATGTCTTAGAACTATTGTGAATCATATTTATCTATAACAAATTCTTATAATTACGTATTACACAAATTCATTTATCATCCAAAA